AGGTTTTAAAAACACAAACTTCATTTGCCACCCACTCCTTAAATCACATCAGTGACTCCCCAATGATCTCAGGTTGAAATTTAAGTATTTAGCATGACCTAAAACCTAATCCTGCCCTTGCCTGCTCGTAGACCTCATCTAATATATTCTGAATATATTACTCTTACTCAAATTATTTGGACATTGATTTCTCTCAAAGAAAGTTTTTTTTTTTTTTTTTTTTTTGACAGGCAGAGTTAGACAGTGAGAGAGAGAGAGAGAGACAGCAAGAAAGGTCATCCTTCCATTGGTTCACTCCCCAAATGGGCGCTAAGGCCAGCGTGCTGCATCAATCTGAAGCCAGGAGCCAGGCGCCTCCCCCCGGTCTCCCATCCAGGTACAGGGACCAAGAACCTGGGTCATCCTCCACTGCACTCCTGGGCCAGAGCAGAGAGTTGGACCGAGAAATTTTTAATATGCTTTTCTCACCACGTGCAACTCAGCACAAGCCCTCCCTACTTTCCATCTTCTTGGACTGTCTTCCTCACATCTCAGTTTGACTGACTTCCTGTTACTGGATCCAGAAGCAGCCTGTTTCTTTTTCTCTTGGCATTTTGAATATGATTGGATCATAAATGTATATATTTGCTTTGAGGCTACTTTACTCAACCAACCTCAAAGACCAACTGTGGCTATTTTATTCATTTTTGTTTACTCATTGCCATGTACAGTGTTTTACACATGGAACAATAGTTATAATAGTAATATGAATTAATAATTTAATATTATATGAGCTATATCAAGAAAATATCAGAGTTAACCCTTTTAAAAACTCACATAGGATATTTAATAGTACTTGTATAGTTTAAATAGCACAGGCTTGGAGATAGTGTGCCTGATAAAAGTAAGCCTCTACCAGTGCTTTAATGTGTGACTTTAAACATTTTATTCAACCTTCTGAGAATAAATTTTCTCACCTCTATGAGAGTGTAATAATAGTTCTGCCTTGAGGTGTTGAGTACATTAAATCCAATTATGGAAACACATACTTCCAGTGAGAACCTGTAGCATTGCATACACAATGTTTTAAATATTATTACAAGGATGTATAGTTGACACAGCAGTTAAGGAGCTGCTTGTTATGCCCACATGCCATATTGGAATGGGTTGGATCAACTCCCTGTTCCAGTTCCAATACAGCTTCCTGCTAATGTGCACTGTGGGAGGCAGCAAGTGACTGCTCAATCACTGAGATCCCTGCCAACCATATGGGAGACCCAGAAGGAGTTCCTGTCTCTTGACTTTGGCCTGGCACAGTGCTCACTGCTGCAGGTATTTGGGGAGTAAGGCAGTATTTAGAAAATACTTCTCGGCCGGCGCCGTGGCTCAATAAGCTAATCCTCCACCTTGTGGCGCCGGCACACCGGGTTCTAGTCCCGGTCTGGGTGCCGGATTCTGTCCCGGTTGCCCCTCTTCCAGGCCAGCTCTCCGCTATGGCCAGGGAGTGCAGTGGAGGATGGCCCAGGTGCTTGGGCCCTGCACCCCATGGGAGACCAGGAAAAGCACCTGGCTCTTGGCTCCTGCCATCGGATCAGCGCGGTGCGCCAGCTGCAGCGGCGGCCATTGGAGGGTGAACCAACGGCAAAGGAAGATCTTTCTCTCTCTGTCTCTCTCTCTCACTGTCCACTCTGCCTGTCAAAAAAAAATAAAAAAAAAGAAAGAAAATACTTCTCTCTGACTCTATCTCCCTGTCTTATTCTGTCATTCAAATAAGTAAAAATAAAAACTTTAAAAGAAATATCATTACACATATTAATATATTTAAAGAGAATAAGAGACAATCATTCTTTCATAATTTTCAGGAAAGATTTTTTTAAGATTTTTATTTATTTTATTTGAGAGGTAGAGTGACAGACAGTGAGCGGGAGAGACAGAGAGAAAGGTCGTCCTTCCGTTGGTTCACTCCCCAAATGGCCACAACAGCTGGAGCTGCGCCAATCCAAAGCCAGGAGCCAGGAGCTTCTTTCTGGTCTCCCATGTGAGTGCAGGGGCCCAAGGACTTGGGCCATCTTCTACTGCTTTCCCAGGCCATAGCAGAGAGCTAGACTGGAGGAGGAGCAGCCGGGACTAGAACCAGCACCCATATGGGATGCTGGCACCACAGGCAGAGGATTAACCTGCTGCACCATGGCGCCAGCCCCCAGGAAAGATTTAAGTAAATAAAAATTGGTTGTGCTTTGCAATGATAAATGCTTCCCCATAAGTAAATAACTGATAATGTATATTTTCAACCATTACTAATGGTGTTTTGATGCATGTATTCAGACAAGCAGATGAAACAAATGTTCATGGAACAGTAACAAGACTGCCATTTCCTTGGCCCTGGAGTAAAAGTTGTGTGAAATTTTAATTAATACAGTACTCCAGAAATACAATATAAAAACAGAAAAGAAACGAGAAAGAAATGTTTAATGTAAGTAACATATGAAATGTGTAAAACAATACCAAGAATTAAGAACATGGTGGTAAAAAGAATATTTTAAAGCATCTCTATTTTTTTCCAACAGCAAAATTTTCATTTCATGGGCTACAATGAATGTCATCAAATATGCAATTATAAAAAGTTAATTAATACATTATTATTTGCCTTCAGTGTGTGTGATTTAGAGTATATGAAACCCAGAAATGAGTAATTTCACATACTAGGAGGGAATTATAATTTAATCACTTTAAAGTATAAACACAAAGTTAATTCTATTGACATCAAAATGACCTATAATACAACAATTTAGTAGCACAATGAATTAAAATGGCCACATATTCTTGGCCATATCTCAAAAAGAAATAGAGTCCATTTCCCTTCCTCTTTTCTGGGTTGGATCTACAATTTTCCTAGGCTGCTACTGAAATGATACTGTACACGAATGAGGTTGAGTTCTAAGAGATGTGCAGTTAATGTTTTCATTTGTTGCAAAAGCTTCCTTTTGGAACCTACCTACCATGGCATATAGGGAGACCACATGGAAGACAGCCAAAGTGGATGGCTCCAGCAAAGCACCCAGCCAGGGATTACCAACTACCCATTATGTTGAATGAGTTGTGTTTATCTTCTAGTCCAAACTTCCAGCTGACTATAATCCTAGCCAACAACACATAATGCAGAAGATCAATTACCTGAATTCAGTCATTCCTGCAATCTCTTAAGAAATGCTAATCCTTAAGTTTGAGGTTTGTTTACTAGGCAGAAGAAGAAACTGAAGCCGATAGGGAAAGTTCAATTCTGATTTTAAATGAATAGTGACTCTGGATGACAACACCTGCTTTTGATACTTGCAGGGACAGCAGCCACATGACTTTTGCCAATTCACAATGCACTCCATTTCTGAGTCCCTGTCTCAACAGTAATCACTCCATGAGATCGTTGGGAGAACTAAAGAGTTCTTTTTACAGCATTTACGTAGTAACTGGAACTTCATAAAAAGTTCAATACATATTGGCTATTTCTGTGTTGTTGCTACTGATGTTAATATTAACTTGGTTTTTATGAAATATTACATATGAAATTTCACTCCTCTGAGGATTTATGGTCTTGAACAAGGAGTGGAGAAGTAAAAGACATGATATCAGAGAATGCTTGTGTCCAATGAACATATTTCAGAGGATATTTTTTTGAAATAGAGTAAATAGGGGCCGTGCCGTGGCTCACTTGGTTAATCCGCTGCCCACAGCGCTGGCATCCCATTTGGGCACCAGGTTCTAGTCCGGGTTGCTCCTCTTCCCACCCAGCTATCTGCTGTGGCCCCAAAAGGCAGTGGAGGATGGCCTAAGTGTTTGGGCCCCTGCACCCGCATGAGAGACCAGGAGGAGGCACCTGGCTCCTGGCTTCGGATCAGTGTAGTTCCGGCCATGGCGGCCATTTGGGGGGTGAACCAACAGAAGGAATACCTTTCTCTCTCTCTCACTGTCTAACTCTATCTGTCAAATAAAAAAAAAAAAGAAATAGAGTAAATAAACCTGTGATTTATCTTTCATAAATGATTGTTTCGGGTAAAATCTATTACCATTTGCCCATTTTTTGCAGAAATATTTAAATGGATGCATTTATTATGTGATAATGAAGCTTGACTACCTAAAATTAGTTGCCTATCTATGGTTTGAAATGATGATAGGACTGATGTTGCTTTTTACCTAATTAATTGATGTGGCTCTTTAACATAAAACTGAAGTATATCATCCCAGAAATATGGCATAAATCACTGAAGTTGTATATTTGTCTCAATAATATTTCATTACATGCCCCATTTTCTTCTTCATTTCTTAGATTACATTTCAGTTCCTGACAGAAGCTCATTTGTACAGGGCAGTCATAAAACTTTTCATTCTATTTATATCTTTAAAATTCCCTGTAAGTATTTTTTTAGTTCTACATTTCAACTTCACATTTAGAATGGTTTTCCCTTGTTCTTAAAGAAAAATAAACACTGAGTTGATATTAATAGGTAGGTACTACCTATTTGTGTTATCCAAACAACAGGGTTTTTTGTCTTTATGTTTATACAATTGCATATTGTAAACCATTAACTCCACTTGCAAAGAACCAAACTTGCTCTGCATTCACACTTTCCAGCTCAGCAGGTCACCTCTCTGCTCCAAACCTCCATTACAGACTTTAACCAATAGAGAGGAAAAGTCATTCTGACACATGGTTGTGGAAAACTCTGTTATTGCTCCATGCTGATTTTATTGATCTGTCCACAAAATTCCATGAGCATCTAACTTAATCTTATCCATTGAGATTAGAGTTTTCTCTTATGCTTAAATACTTTCTATAGGAGTCATAATATTAACATCAATTTAGAAGGGAAGAGAAAAATACCAGAGGAAGAAAAGGGAAAATTATATTCCCGAAGAAAATGTAATTTTATTCATAAAGTTGATTAAAGAGAACACATATATGAGGAATCATTAAAAAGTTTATTGAAAATGCATTTTATGAAAAAACTGAGCATGGATTTAAATATCATTGCAACATAAACAATATTAATTTTAATTTCTTTTTTCAACAAATTTTTGTAGGATCGCCATATAAAAATAATCCATTATTTCTGAAGAACATCATCTTATTTAATGTAGAATAAAGGTAGCTACTAAAGCCAAGGTCATGTTTTCTATTTGTCCTTTTACTCAGTTGGCCTTTTCAGAATTATCTTGATAAATATGAAGCAGCATTCAAATTCTATTTTCCTCAGTTGCATAAATTAATGGGCAAGATAACAGTAAAATTCACAGAATTTGTCCCAACATTTTTCAATAGGTAGGAATTTCTGACATCAGAAATGTAATAAGAGAATGCTTTAATAAGGACTCAAGGAGAAGTTAATTGACCAATGCCAGCTAGCAAATTGATAACTAATTTATAAGACAAAGTTTGTGCTTTTAGATTTTCAATATTATACATATGTTCTGGTCTTTTCATATTATTGTCTTTAAATCTTAATGTGAGTTATATCATTTGGAAAGCACTGTGAGGATACTAGAACAGAGAAGCTTCTTCAGTTGGTCCATCTGTGATGGAAGCAGAACCTCTGACTTAATTTTTGCTAACTGGTGGTAATCTTACATTGAATATCTGTACCAAAAAATAAAAAGGTGTACTAGCAAGAAAGAATCACGGTGTGGCTGGTCACTGCTTAGGTTGCTAGTGTCTCATACTGGAGAGCCGGTTGAAGTCCTGGATGCTTCAATTTGAGTCCAGAGTCTTGTCAATGTGACTGTGAATGCAGCGGATGATGGCCCACGTATTCAGGTCCTTGTCACCCATGTGGACGAACTGGACAGAGTTCTTGGCTCCTGGCTTTGGCCTGGCCTCGCCCTTGCTGTTACAGCCATTTCAAAAGTGAACCAGTGAGTAAGTGGAAGATCTCTTTGTCTCCCCTCTTTTTCTGCACTATGCCTTTTAAATAAGGAAATAAATATATCATCAAAAAATGAATCATGGTAAGTGTAACTTAGATGTCATAACAAAGTCACTTACGCATGGCAAATATGTCATTTTTATTTAATTATCAATTTTGCCTTTCTTGTTTCACAGAGATTCATACAAGGACTATGTGACCTAAGCCACCCATTATCAATCAGTACTCATAAAGATAAACACAACTAGTGATGGGTTTCAAAACATGACACCTTGGCATACTGAAGATTTTAAGCAGAAAGAATCTGAGAAATAGCATGTGCTATATCCCTCCCCCACTCCCTGACACAGCCACAAAACCTTGAAGGATTTTCTGACCTTCCCCAAAATTAGGTTGGAAGACTCTAATAGGCGAGATAGCCTTCCTATATCCAAGGAAACAAGTATCCTTATCTCCAAAAGCACAGGGACACAAATCAGTATCTGAAAATGCCCTGCCAAGTTTCCTACAATTCATTATTATTAGCTCACACCCACTTTGTCATTCAGTATGTGTACAGGACTCTTCACTCTTTATCAAACCATAATGTACCCCAATAATAACATTCATTGTTTAAATAAATAAATAAAATAAACTGACCTTCAGGTTTTACTGCTTCTTCAGGCCTTCATTTCTTTATGAAGCTCCCCATCTCATATAAGACTACATTAAGTAAATTTGTACTTTTCTCTTGTTTCTCTGTCTTCCCTCCCAGGAGCCCCAGCCAGCGACTCCAAGAAAAGTAAAAGGGAAGGATATTTTTCCTTCCCTACACTGGCTACACTTCAACACCACATGGAGGTAGCATCAAAAGAATGGAATCCTGGGGCTGGCACTGTGGCATAGCAGGTAAAGCTACCACCTGCAGTGCCGGCATCCAAAATGGGCACCAGTTCAAGTCCCAGCTGCTCCACTTCTGATCCAACTCTCTGCTATGGCCTGGGAAAGCAGTAGGGGATGGCCCAAGTCCTTGGGGCCCTGCATCCACATGGGAGACCCTGAAGAAGCTCCTGGCTCCTGGCTTCAGATCAGTGCAGCTCCGGCGGCCATTGCGGCCAACTGGGGAGTGAATTGGGATAGAAAACTCTCTCTCTTTGCCTCTCTTTCTCTCTCTCTGTAACTCTGGCTTTCAAATAAATAAACAAAATCTTTTTAAAAAATAAAAAAAAAAAGAATGGAATCCAAGGAGGCTCTGCAGTCACAATTAAATAGTATGAGGAACCACCTTACATTCTCTGTTCCCTCTTATATCCTGATTTGTTTCCTCTAAATCCCCAACTAAGTCTGCAAATTTAAACCAACTTATAGACAGTACCTTGCGGTGATGCCTCCAGATACAGACTGCCATAGCTGTGTCAAAAGATTCAGATGACTCTAAAGGACCATGGAGATGTCCAATCCTTGAAGTAGGCAGAATTTCATACAATACATTTGGTTCTCCATGTGACCTGCAGGAGAGATGGCCAGAGACAGCGATATAGAAAGGGAAGTCATTTTCCTTACCCTGTCTTTGGCAGGTAGAAGATGGGGAGTTGGCCTGTGAATGGCTAAGGTTCTTCTTGCTGAATATATGAAACTTAAAATCTGCATAGAGACAGAGACATGTTGGAGATTATTTGTGTCAATCATGGTGGAGTCAATTGCATATGAACTGCAGTAGCAACAAAAGAGTCAACTGAATATGGTGATGTTGTAATCAGGCAGTTTCTCAGAGTGGAGCTGTTGACACTGATCTTGTGCAACCTTAGTTCTATGGCATTCCATTATGTTACAGACACTTTTTAAAAATTTACTACTTTCTTCATGGTGACTAGAATTAATTTGTACATAGAAATCAAGAAGTCTAGTATTTTGTCATGGTACTTCTGTATACTGATGGTGTCACAGAGATTCTTTGGTTGACTACTTTCAGACTCCAGACCTTTATCTTATACCCATCTGGGCACTTCTTTGTAGAATGTAGTTTTAGCAAGAATCCTGTTAAGTTCATTGAACAAGGATACCCCCACCCTTGAAATCTTATCACCCTAGTATCTGATCAGTTCCTCATCCCCCACCAGCTTCCAGGTGCTACCTGACCACCCTGTCCTGCCTCCAGCAAGTATTCTACTAGGTACATTCAGACAGATTCTCTTTATCTGTTTCCATTTAGTGATTTTCTATCCACTGACCCTACAGTGGCCTTTGGCTATAGCTTCAAACTAGCCCATGTTATATGAGCCCAGTCTCTCTGCCCTACTGTAAAATCCCCTTACAATGGTCCACATAACCATAAATTCTTTCTTTAGCATAAGAATGAAGTTTTATGCATTTACAACTGAGTTTATTTAAAACAATCTTGACTTCAAACATGAACAGTTACATACAAATTTGTTTTTGTATCCAGATTGACATTTTATGATCACGTTTTACAGATAAGATAGATATAACAAATCTCTATGAATTACAATGTGTCAAAACATTGCATATTTTACTAATAATATATGTGAAACAAATAGATGTGTAATGAGAAAATTTCTAAAGTGCTAAAAGAATTATATACTAATTAACATATTGTATCTGCGATTAATATGCTTTATGAGAAAATATGAAGATTTTTCAGCACATTATTGTAGTTCAAACAGATGAAAATTAAAATTTAATCCATATATTTTAATTGATTTTAATATGAGAACTAGTCAAAGTTTACTAATGTGTCAAATCTGCAAAATAATTAGTACACAATAAAATAAAAATTTTAAATGCATAACTGGAAAGCAATAATAATGTTAACTTTGTTTTTAATAATCTATGAACTAATTACTGCTTCTCTTTATTCATATCTGGCTCAAAAACATAAATCAACTTAAAGTCAAATAAGCTGCTTTTTTTTTCTTCTTCTGATCTTCTGGGTTTTTGTTGTTCGTCTTTTGTTTTTAATATTTGCAGGGGCCATGAATTCTTTAATACCCTGCTGAACCCCTGCATGGAAAACTTAATTTAAAAGTTATGGGCGTCATTTACCATTTGTACTATTATAATTAAGGCTGTTAAGTGGTCCAAGGCTGCTCTGTCTGAGTTCCTCTTTGCTTAGAGGACTCTAACATGAATACTGAAGACATCTTTCACCAATAAAGAAAGTATCATCAAAGGGAGCAAGGGACTGAAAGGAAGTGTGGTTGCTACAAATGTCAATGAAGCCAAAAATAGTCCTTTAAAAATCAGCTGTGCTGCCAGTGAATGCAGAAAGGGCAAAACTTATGAGTCACTGAAATATCAAAGTAACACTTAAATAGGCTACTAATGAGTTAATCACACAAACTACAATATCCCAATGTTTCAATTCGTTTTCACATATTCCATTTGAGGAATACATTCCAGGTGTGTAGAGACATAACATTTATGTAACTACACATGTTTACATTTTCTACCTATTTTTAAGAGAAAAAAATGAAAGTGACATAAAGCAGGCATCAGAACCTCACTCCATACTAATACATGGGGCACTACAAAATACAACAGAACATTTTCTTTCTCTCCCCTCCAAACGCATATTTAATAAGAATAATGTAACTGATGGATGTCCTCCACTGAAATCTCCAGAGGTGATGGCCCAAGCCCAAGTTGCTCATAGGCACTTAATAAATGAGGCTGGGAGAGAGGAGAGAGAGAAACAAAGACAAAATAAGAAGATGTTTCAGAAGGTGATAAGCTATAGGTTTTTTTAAGCAGAAAGACATAAAGATGTCAGAATTATTTTAACAGTTTGTTACATAAATATGTAAAAAGGTCTCCCCATATCTCAAATAAGATAATGCCTTACCAACATCCTTAGGTCAGAATTTATGCACTGATTTTATCTAATCCAGAATCTAAATTTAACAAGGCCTTTACTCTGATTACATACAGATGCAAATTAGTTTAGCAAAGTTATGACAAAATATAAGCTTGTAAAAATCTATATGTACATACTAGTGTTGTCTTACAAGCTACCTTAATGAGTGTTGTGTACAATATTGATCCACAAATTCAAGTTATAACAAAAAAAATTACTGCCAAGCATCTCTATGAAAAAATAAACAAAAAACATGAAAATTTACTTTTTTTGAAAATGACTACTGCAAGCGATGAGTAATTTTCCTTAATTATAATGTCGAAGAATTTCATGAAGAGAAAATCCAATCTCTGCTTCATATCTAAAATCCATCTGTGTGACATATACAGAAAATGTAGAAAGACTTCTATTTTATCTTTCTTTTGCTGCCAGCATAGAAGCCACAAACCCCCAAGCTAGGAAGTAAACTCCAAAAGCTTCTGGTGTCCCATTGCTGCAGATTGTCAGTTTTTGAGTAAGATGCTCTCTTACTGTCGTTCCTAGCTTCCTATGTCATGAAGATATATAATTCCTCTTATAACCAAACTATTCTAGACAAAAACAGAATTTAAGGATTGGCAGTATATTAGTTTCCTACTGCCGCTGTAACAAATTACCAAATACTTACTGTCTTGAATGATGTAACTGCCCATAGTTCTGAAAGTCAGAAGAGTGGCACAGATCTCACTGCACTACATACAGGTGCTGGCAGGCTGGATGCTTTGATGAAGGCACTAGGCGAGGACACATTTCCTTACCTGCTCCGAGGAAGTTGTCTGTTTTCCTAGGTTGCTGGCCCTCTTCAGTTCTCATAGCCAGCAACGACAGGCTAAATATGTCCATGACATCACCCTAATCTTCTTTCCATCCTCACATCTACTTTTCTGACTCAGGCTCTGATGGTTCTACTTTCTTTTTCCACATTTAAAGGACCCTTGTGGCTCCACTGGCACCATTAGTATATTCAGGATCAAAATCAAATTTTAAAGGCAACTGATTAGCAACTGTCAGCAAACTTAATTCTTCTTTTCTATGTAACCTAGTTATAGTCTCTAGCCATTCGAATGTGGACATCTTTGGGGGTTGAGGGGTAATTTTTCTGCCTACCAAACAGCATAACAGTGTTTGCTGAAATCTGTTTAAATTATATAATGGGGGCTGGGAAAGTGGCATAATAGACTAAGCCTCCACCTGTGGTGCCAGCATCCCACGTGGGTACCGGTTTGCATCCTGCCTGCTCCTCTTTTGATCCAGCTCTCTGCTATGGCCTGGGGAAAAAGCAGATTGCTCAAATGCCTGGGCCCCTGCACCTGCATGGGAGACCCAGAAGAAGCTCCTGGGCCCACCTGCAGCCATTGTAGCCATTTGGGGAGTGAACCAGTATACAGAAGACATTTCTCTCTGTCCCTCCCTTCCTCTGTCTGTAACTCAGCCTCTCAAATAAATAAACAAATAATAATAAAAATCATATGGTGAAAATAAACTGAAATATTGGGAAGCATAAATTCTCCAGATTATATTTTCTGTGTTCAGCAACAATATCTTGTTGAAGTAATATAAATATAATACAAGAAATCTACTCTGGCCAGCAAAATTCCTCAAGATATATGCCAAATAAATACCAAAATGAAGCTATGAATAAGATGTCCAGGAGAATGTTACACTGAGCTAATTTGAAAAGTACTTCCACAATCCAAAATGAAGCATTCAGATATTATGCATAAAATGTAACATAAAAATTTTGAATAACTACCTGACATCAAATAGAAGAGAAGGGGATAGTCAAAAAAATATTTCTCCACCCGCCCCCCCCCACCAAAAAAGAAAGAAATCAGCAAAGTCAGAAGTAGAGCAGAAATCTAAAGACTGATGAGAAGGTGCTGATAATGGTGACCTGTAGGATTTGACTTCATATAAAAATCTTAGGAGCAAATGTGTTCTTTCTTTTTTAAAGATTTTATTTATTTATTTATATATTTGAGAGGTAGACCAAGGGAGACCGAGAAAGAAAGGTTGAAAGGTCTTCCATCCACTGGTTCACTCCCCAAATGGAGCAGTGGTCAGAGTTGAGCCTATTCAAAGCCAGGAGCCAGGAGCTTCTTCCAGGTCTCCCACGCAGGTCCATTATCTGCTGCTTTCCTAGGCCATAGCACTTGGGCCATCTTCTATTGCTTTCCTAGGCCATAGCAGAGAGTTGGATCCAAAGAGGAGCAGCCAGGACTCGAACTGGTGTCCATGTGGGATGGCGGTGCTCCAAGTGGAGGATTAACCTACTATGACACAGCACTGGCCCCAGAAATATGCTCTAATTTGATTATGAAGAGTGTCAGCAGGGCTGAAACTGTAATTTAGAGGGTAAAGCAGTCACCTGTAGTGCCAACATGTCATTTGAGCACTGGTTCGAGTCCTGGCTGCACTACTTCTGCCCCAGCTCTCTGCTATGGCCTGGGAAAGCAGTAGCAGACAGCCTAAGTCCTTTGGTCCCTGCACCCATGTGGGAGACCTGGAAGAAGCTCCTACCTTCAGATCAGCTCAGCTATGGCCATTGTAGCCATGTGGAGAGTGAACAAGCAGAAAGAAGACCTCTCTCTCTTTCTCTACCTCTACCTCTCTCTAATTCTGCCTTTCAAATAAATAAATAAATCTTAAAAGAAAAAAAAAAAAAAAAAGAGGGTCAGCATCACCTTCAACAAGCATGAGGTGCCAGATGGAATCAGAGAGTTACACAACACCCTAAACGGTGTCATTCAAATTTTTTTAAAAAGACAGGAAGAAAAAATCTTTAATACCCTCTCTTAATAGGCAAGAAGATGTTTAAAAGTATAACTGAGAGAAAATAACACAAGTCTTTTTTTTTTTTTTTTTTTTTTTTGACAGGCAGAGTGGACAGTGAGAGAGAGAGACAGAGAGAAAGATCTTCCTTTGCCGTTTGTTCACCCTCCAATGGCCACCGCGGCCGGTGCGCTGCGGCCTGCGCACCGCGCTGATCCGAAGGCAGGAGCCAGGTGCTTCTCCTGGTCTCCCATGGGGTGCAGGGCCCAAGCACTTGGGCCATCCTCCACTGCACTCCCTGGCCACAGCAGAGGGCTGGCCTGGAAGAGGGGCAACCGGGACAGAATCCGGCGCCCCGACCGGGACTAGAACCTGGTGTGCCGGCGCCGCAAGGTGGAGGATTAGCCTAGTGAGCCGCGGCGCCGGCAATAACACAAGTCTTGACCCATGTACAAGTGTGAAGTCTGAATTTGAAATGAATTTGTAATGCTGAAACATCAATGTATGAAATTAGCATAAAATCCATCTGGGAAAGGTGAGAGACCAAGGACTTTGGCCAAAAAAAAAAAAAAAAGTAACCATAAAACAAACAAAAACCAAAAGCAGAGCTTTTTACTAAAGTTCTTACCATCCAAGGAACAAAGGACTACCAAAAGTAAAATACTCAAATGAAAAAGATATATAGAAAACATCAATGTTTACTATAGAAAATGAATCACTATGACCGTATGTCATCTGATATACCCATCGGATTACTCAGAAATCTCCTAAAGGTAAGTGATAAAAATATGAGACCATGAAATAAATATTTTAGATAAATAGAATATAAGAAATACGTACTTTATTTTTAAAAAGGAAACTATAAGAAAGTTATTTTAACAATAGCAAAAATAACTTCTACAATTCTACAATTAAAAATGGATTTGGTATGAAATATAAAACTAAATATGTTCTGGCACTGTGGCACAGTGGATTAAAACCATGGCCAGTAAAGCCACCACCTGCAGTGCTGGCATCCCATATGGGTGCCGGTTTAAGTCCCAGCTGCTCCACTTCCGATCCAGCTCTCTGCTATGGTCTGGGAAAGCAGTAGAAAATGGTCCAAGTCTTTGGGCCCCTGTACCCACATGGGAGACACGGAAGAAGCTCCTGGCTCCTGGCTTCAGACCCGTGCAGCTCCAGCCATTGCGGCCAATTGGGGAGTAAACCAGTGGATGGAAGTTCTCTCTTTCTCTCTCTACCTCTCCTTCTCTCTGTGACTTTCAAATAAATAAAATAAATCTAAAAAAAAAAAAAAAAAAAAAAAAAAAACGCCCTGGCCTGCAGTGCCAGCATCCCATATGGGTGCTGTTTCGAGTCCTGGCTGCACCTCTTCCCATCCAGCTCTCTGTTATAGCCTGGGAAAGCAGTAGAAGATGGCCTGGAAGGTCACTCTGTCTATCACTGTCCCTCTGTCTTTGAAATAAAGTAAGATGAAAATAGATAAGTATTTTCTTTTAGAAAAAAGGTTACATAGAGATACAGAAACATAGTGACTAGAGTAACAAAGTTAGTCAGAATTAAAAAGAAATTTATTCACAATCAGTGTGTTCCTTCTCTGAATAGAGTGAGATAGCTTTCAGCAGATATATTATAGAATAAAGACAAAAATCCAGACTGACTTGGGAAAAATATGTGTAAGAGGATCAAAAGGACTCCAAAGAACAAGAGGACCAAGACTCTGGGAAGAACACCATGTAACACTGAGTTCGAAATTCAGATCCACATTTTTCAAGACATATTTATGAAAAGTGGCCTTAGTACAGAGATTGAAATTTAATACTTAACCATACAGAGGGCCAACTAGTACCAAGGGAAAGAAGTCAACAGAAAAATCTTAAACAGAGTCCAGCGCTGGATATTTGAACAGCACAAAACAGGCTGCCAGATTTATCTTCATTTCTTCAATCAGAATGTCTCTGAAACATTGTTTCAGAGTGGTGAAAAGGTTACAAAGCTATTATGAAAGTGTCTTTTAAAATGGGAGCTTTCTTTCATCATTTAACATCGATGGGATAAAGATTTAACTTCTGGGCCCAACAAGAAGAGTTCCCAAGGAATATTCCAGATCTACTGTTGCAATATCTGGCAAGCTACACCCAAAGAGAGAGAAAAAAAAAACTATAAACACTACAAACTTGCTTCAGTGTAGCTCAATCCTTGACTAATTCAAGACTAAAATGTATCTTGCAGAGATGGAAAATCTTTCCATCATAATATAAGATACTATTGACACTTTCAATGTTTTTTTTAACTTTTATTTAATGAATATAAATTTCCAAAGTACAGAATATGGATTACAATGGCTTCCCCCCCATAACGTCCCTCCAACCCACAACACTCCCCTTATCCACTCCCTTTCCCCTTCCATTCACATCAAGATTCATTTTCGATGCTCTTTATATACAGAAGATCAGTTTAGCATACATTAAGTAAAGATTTCAACAGTTTGCTCCCACACAGAAACATAAAGTGTAAAATGCTGTTTGAGTACTAGTTATAGTATTAAATCTCAATGTACAGCACAGTAAGGACAAAGATCCTACATGAGGAGTAAGTGCACAGTGACTCCTGTTGTTGACTTAACAAAATGACACTCTTGTTTATGGCCTCAGTAATGACACTTTCAGTGTTTTTGACATTTGTACCAATGATGCAAAAGCAGTGGTGGTTGAAAGTGTTGGGGGCTCAGCACAAATGCAACAATGGTATCAAGCTATACCAGTGCTCATTGCATTATAATCATTGTAGTTGTCACAGTTTGCACTCAAATTTAAAAGAAAATTCACTCACAGGATTTTTTTTTATTTATTTGAAAGACAGAAATACAGAAAGAGAGAGAGAGGAGAGAGAAAAGATCTTCCATCCACTGGTTCATTCCCCAAATGGCCACAATAGCTGGGGCTGGGCCAGGCCAAAGCCAGGAGCCAGGAGCCTCTTTTGTGTCTCCTACATGGGTACAGAGCCCCAAGTATTGGATCATCTCCCACTGCTTTCCCAGGCATATTAGCAGGGAGCTGGATTACGAGGGGAGTAGACAGGACTCAAACCAGCAATGATATGGGATACCAGTACTACAGGTGGAAGCTTAACCTTCTACGGCACAGTGCCGACCTTATTTTTTTTAAGATTTATTTATTTGCTTGAAAGGCAGAGTTGCAGAGAGGCAGAGGCAGAGAGAGACGGGTGGGGGGGGAGAGAAAGAGAGAAAGGGGGGGGGAGAGGGGGATCTTCCATCTGCTGGTTCACCCCCCAGATGGCCTCAATGGCCAGAACTGTACTGATCAGAAGCCATGAGCCAGGAGCTTTTTCTAGGTCTCCCACATGGGTGCAGGGGCCCATCAATCACAGGGGTCACTTCACCTCACCTCCCCCACCCAAGAACGAGGGCCATAACAGTCCAGAGGACTTTCTCCTCCCACAGTGCAAGCTGTGCAGCCAGGGGAAGCCCCGTCTACTAGAAGCTATTAACCTCTCCCACCACTATTGAAATTTGAGCTGGGTACCAGTAGGCGGAGTTCCATGTACCTGAGCTACAGTACCCATGCCCACCATACACAGAGTCAAATCTGGAAATAGGATGGAGAAACTGCACTCACATTGAACTTATCCATCCAAAAATCAGAAGAGAGACAACGTTTATCTCTGTGATCAGGATGAAGTAGAGACAAAGTACGAATAGAGTTCAAAAAAGTCATGGAAAAGTGGAAGTAAAAGATAAGCTTATTTTTAGTGAAACACATTTTGAAATTCTTGCATTTCTTTTTGATAATACCCACTTTCCATGAACCTTTTGAAGACCGTCTGAGGATTGGTAAGCAGCTAGCAATTTCTGCATGAATAGCCTCTTTTATGATAGACACTCATGTGTACCCTGTACCCACAGACAGCCTATACTCACCGATTCCCCTAATTTCATCCATTGACAATAACCAACTCAAAATTCAGGATCTATTGGTATGGAGCAGTCCCTTCCGTCATGGCTGGTGATGGTTGCTGTGGGTCTGCAAAGTATCATATGAAAAACAAACTGTCAGTATTTTAAATCAGTCCTCCTTGTCCCTGCACTGGGGACAATATAACTAAAGTAGAAAGTTATATATAGGAAAAGGAAGCCCCAACAGATAGCCTGTACATGACAACATTGTGTGGTCTGCCAGTAAGGCCTTGCCATGCACCTCCTTCTCAACTCTACATGCTTTGCCCTGCTGTTTGGCTATAGGGAAAGTTCCTCAATTAGACTCACATTCCTGATCCAGAGTGACACCTTGTTAGTTGTTCTCCATGACTACATGTTCTGCTCACTGGGATACACATATTTGTCCATTAGCTTGGGAACTGTGCATCTTGCATGGGCTATTTCCTTCTTGTGGATGTTGGGGGAGGGGGTTCTAAGAATTATTTTGTTTTAATATTTTCCCCAGCTCATGATTTCTTCGAAAAATCAATTTCTTTAACAATGTAATGGGCTTTGGGTGTATTTCCTTCTAGTCAGTTGCATATTTTAAAAACCATCAGCAAGTTCCTTCTTAGCCATAACTCCAAGACTAATTTTTTACCTCCTTTGCCAATTTAGGTAGAGAATTATTCCATTAACCATGGCTACTTAGAGGCCAACTTAGAAAACAGACTTGAACGTGAATGTCACACATTGAATCTCATTACTACTGTAAAGTCCATTCCCCTTACATGAGAAATCTCAAGGCTTTCATATTAAACTCTTTTCTAATTTTATTTAATAATTTTTTAATCTATAAGTGGGAGGTATTTCAGAACCTGTGAAGCACCTAATATTTCTCTATTTACTCTCATTTCTTCTGGAATTTTGTCAATGTTTTTCTGACAGCATGATTTTCTTGCAGTTGCTTGCTGAAAAAACTACAAAGTAGTTCTCTAAAATTAACACAGCAAACAGAAATGCAATAGTGACTAAAAGAGATGCATTTTTGCTGAATTGATTAAAAAAGGAGAAAAATGACTAAGTTATATTAAGAAAACAGGAGATGGAATAATTAAGATATTTAAATACATATAATCAACTAGTAAAATGAATAATTCTTTATTGACAATTTTGAAAAGTTAGATAACATTGACTAATCCCTCCAAGAAAACTAAACTGATTAAGAACAAAAATGAGACTTCATTTGAACTATAATTATTAAAGACTATGCCAATGTAGATTTAAATATTCTCACAAAATACCGGGCTAGGTACATTAAGAAGCAGATTCAAACAAATTTTCAAGGGTAAGAACATTTCAATATAATCAAGCAATTCAGAGACTAGAAAAGAATAAACACCGGCCTATTTTTAAACTGATACGAGACTTGTCCCATTCATAATGCCTCCAATTGTCCTAAACATATTAATAAATCATATCAAGAAATGTATACATAAACATGACCAAGCTGAGTTTGTTGGGGAAGGTGAAAGAAGATCAGATAATATATAAGAATATAATTAACAATGTATGAAAAGGAAAAAAACATAAAATCTCAATAAATTTAGAAAATATCTTCATTGAAGTTCAATTCAGTTTTACATTGTTACCAACAACAAGCAAAATGTTAACACACTCACAAAAATAAAGGCACTGAATTTGACAGAAATAATATTCAAATAATCACCGTAGAAGTTGTCAGGCTCAGGACTGGTGGTGTGGTTTAGTGGGTAAAGTGACTGCTGGAACTGCTGCCATCCCATGTGGGCATGGGCTCTAGTCCTACTTCCCATCCAGGTCCCTACTAATGTGCCTGGGAAATCAGTGGAAGATTTCTCAAGTGCTTGGGCTCCTGCACACCTATAAGAAACTGGAAGAAGCTCCTGGCTCCTGGTTTCGGGTCTCGCCCAACCCTGAGACATTGCGGTCATTTGGGGAGTGAACCAGCAGATGGAAGATCTCTCTTTCTCTCTCTCTCTGTAACTCTGCCTTTCAAATAAATAAAACAAATCTTTAAAAAAATATTTTATGTATTAAATTCTTACTTCATACATTTCATATATTCAAATTTAGGAACATTGTGATTCTTCCCACCCTACCCTCCCACCCACCAGCATTCCCACCCTTCTTCCTCCTCCTTCTCCTACTCCCATTCTTATTTTTTCTTTAAGATTTTTTATTCATTTATTTGACAAGTAGGGTTACAGACAGTGAGAAAGAGAGTCAGAGAGAAAGGTCTTCCTTCCATTGGTTCCCTCCCCAAATGGCCACAACAGCCAGAGATATGCTGATCCAAAGCCAGGAGCCAGGTGCTTACTCCTGGTCTCCCAGGTGCGTGCAGGGGCACAAGCACCTGGGCCATCCTCCACTGCCTTCCTGGGCCACAGCAGAGAGCTGGACTGGAAGAAGAGCAACCGGGACAGAATATGGCGCCCATATGGGATGCTGGCGCTGCAGGCGGAGGATTAACCTAGTGCGCCACGGTGCTGGCCCCTCCCATTCTTATTTTTTACAAACATCTATTTTCAGTTAACTTTATACTCATAAAATTAATCCTACAATAACTAAAGAGTTCAACAAATACTATGATGAAAAAAATAAACTCTTCCTCAACATTAGAGATAAGGGCTATTCAAAATCATCACCAAACAAATGCTAAATGTATTTTAAGCAACAAGCAGCTAAGTGGTTTAAGTAGTATAAACACCATAAATAATATAAAATAATAAAAGAAGCAGAGTACAGCATATGTTAAGACACTACTGAAAGCCATTTAAAACCTCCTACTCTTGTCTATATTCATGGAAAAGAAGACCTACCATTATGAAGACGCCCACTCTTCCCTCTCAGAGAGATGTATAGATTAAACACAATCCAGTCAAATCACATTAGATTTCTTCCTTCTGTAACTGGATAAAATATTCTAAACTTTATCGGAAGAAAAGCGAAGTGTCGATAAAATAGGCAAGACAATCTTGACCAAAACAAAGTTAGGAATGGGGTCTTAGTCTTTTAATTGTCAGAGTTCTTATAAGGCTGCAATTGTTAAAACAATATATCAATGATGAAAAACAACCAATGAAACAGAAAGAAAAAAAAAGAAAAACACAGAAAGGTATGCTCATGCTATTGTGGAACTGGGTCTCCAGCTGAATTTATTCCAAGCTCTTGCCACGGTGGGCGAGACGAATTCAAAGCAGTCACATAGATAAAGTACAAGAATGGGAAGAGGATCTGTTTAAAAGGATCAGAGATTGTCCTCACTCAGAAGTGAATGCTAGTATCCTCCTTCTGTGTGGAGAGAGAGGACCGTTGGCTCTGCTGCAGCCACTGCTGCTGCTGCCTCTGAAGTTCAGTAGCCTCTTTTATGGGAGGAGACTGGTGCTCTAACTGATTATACAAATGGGGGTGCGTGGTTTGGGTGGGGCTCAGTGTGATCTCTGGAAGGTTTCATGGCATTTCCATGTGGAACTCAGAATACACTTGGTCATCATGATGCTTCATACATGATGGGGGAGTGAGTCTCAAGTGCATCACCAGCAAGTGTATGTGCTGAGCCTGTAGCCATGTTGGATTGGCACAGGAGGGGCTGGCGTTGTAGTGGTGCAGCACTGAGGCAAGTTCCTTCATTCACTAAGTAGGTGTAAAATAACATTTTACATCAGTGGAAAGATGAGCTCTCATTTTGCAAATAGTGCTAGAACAACTGATTACCCTTATGGTTTTGGGGGTGGTTACACAATTGTTGAAATCAAACACACATACATTTTTTGTATAAACCTGTGGTTATAGTAATATGTGAAAAAATCCTAAAAGATGTTTGGGACATGCTCAGGCTGACTTGCCCCAAGTGGTGGAGTTGGAAGCATACCAGGGGATTCCAATTCAATCCCATCGAGGTGGCATGTACCAATGCCATCTCACTGTTCCAGGTGATCAGTTTCAGTTCACAGTTGGTCATGGTGAAGGGACTGGGAGTCAAAGGGAACACATAGACAAATCTAGTACCTGCTAACGCTAACCGATGGAGTAAATAAAGGGGAGAGTGATCCAACATGGGAAGTGAGATACTCAGCAGACTCATAGAATGGCAGATGTCCTAAATAGCACTCTGGCCTCAGAATCAGCCCTAAAGGCATTCGGAGCTGGCTGAAAAGCTCATGAGAGTATTTCAGGCATGGAAAGCCAAGACACTCTGGCAAAAGATCTCTGTGAGTGAGATCCCAGTGGAAAGAACAGGTCTTCAAAGAAGGAGGTACCTTTCTCTGAAGGGAGGAGAGAACCTCCACTTTGACTATGACCTTGTCTAAACAAGATAAGAGTCGGAGAACTCAGAGGGCTTCCATAGCCTTGGAAACTCATGACTGGAGCATAGGGAGATTACTGATGCCATAGACGGGAGTGTCAATTGGTAAAGTCAACAACAGGAGTCACTGTGCACTTACTCCTCATGTAGGATCTCTATCCTTAATGTGCTGTACATTGAGATTTAATGCTATAACGAGTACTCAAACAATATATTTCACTTTGTGTTTCTATGGGGGTGCAAACTGTTGAAATCCTTACTTAATGCATACTAAACTGATCCTCTGTAAAAAAAAAAAAAAAAGAAATTATCAATTCCCAACTTGACTCTCACTGGGATTAAACATGACAATAGGTCTGCTCTGATTTCATCATCATTTAAAAAAATCATCTATTATTTTTCACTTTATGTTTCTGTGTGGGAGCAAACTGTTGAAATCCATACTTAATGTATACTAAGCTGATCTTCTGTATATTAAGATAATCGAAAATGAATCATGATGTGAATGGAAGGGGAGAGGGAGTGGGAAAGGGGAGGGTTGTGGGTGGGAGGGACGGTATGGGGAAGAAGCCATTGTAATCCATAAGTCGTACTTTGGAAAATTATATGCATTAAATAAAAGTTAAAAAAAAAAAAAAAAAAAAAAAGAAAAAATCCTAAAAGAAAGAAAAATATCAATTATTTTACTGACATAAATAGCATTAAAAACAAAAATAGCATAAGAAAGGAAGCTTAATTCAAAACTCATGAATGGGGTT